GCCATGGGCTGGTTTGGCCACAGACCCATCGACGAATCCTCGAGAACCGCAATCAACATCGGAACCGTAGTCGGTGAAGGAGAACTGATCAGGATTCAACATCATGGATGAAGAGACTAGTTATTAATTTCTGCAGTTAATAACAGACCCATCGCCAGGAATTAACAGGGAGTATATAGCTTGGTTAATTTAGTGCGTATAATAGGATTTTGATGACAAGTTGATGGATGGGTCTCAAACCTCCAAGTGATCGGATGGTATAGTTAGGAAATGAAAGGGAATTAAGGAAGCAAACAAGGAGGGAGGACATAAATCGTGATGCAATCCATGACTGTATATATGATTAAATATAAAACTTAGCGTTACTAAGACACTTGATTGCTTTAAAAAAAACACACAGTATTCATGTATGCACAAGACAAAAGAATTAATTGTGAGAATTAATAAATAGTTATATATATATCGATATAAACCATTAATTGCCACCTATTTAATTCGATGATGTATCATCTTTAGATACGGATGGATCCTTTACGGTAGTTGGAAGCTAATGTTCTTATATTTATCATTGTAATTTGATTATAATAGAGGAAAGAATTAATACGCAAGGAAGAAGTAAATGGAGGAGGAGGACAAAGACAAGAAGCGAGCGAGCAGCTAGCAAAGAAGTTTTCAGGCCTAACCTCGGCCGGCTACTAAATCTAGTAGGATTAAGGATTTTAGCTCTATAAGCAAATGGGTAAAAAACACTTGGAAAAAAACAATAGAGATCGAGAACTAGCTAGAAGAAGTAATTTGTCATCTCCTCTCCCCTGATTATCTGTGTTTAAGCTTTAGTCGCGGGATGACAGGTTTCTTCGTACAATTTGTGTGGACACCCTGTGATGGTGATTAAGAAGCGCATGGTAATTCTAAATAAATGATCCGTACGTATGAGTAATTTCTAAAGTTCTTTAGGATTAATAGATAACATGCATGCTATAGTATCTTTATTCTTTAGGATTAATAGATGACATGCATGCTAGAGTATCTTTATTTATTTCCATTGTGCATGATTATGAAAGAGAGCAACATCAAAACTGTCTGCATGCAAGCGGGTGGTTCTGATCGGATTTAAACTCAGACTACATTATTAAGTATATAGATGGCTAGATTTAACGTTGATATATTATCAGAGACAGATGTATAGTGGAGGGCACAGGGGGCACCTGCCCCCACGTGCATGCTGGAATAGTAATAATAATAAGCCCTTGATAATTATGAAGGACCAACTGGTCCCGCACTTCGAGTCGGTAATGATGACCCTTGGTCAAAAATGACTCGTCCGCTCGACTGGCCGATAGA